GTCTGCCATCTCAACCAGGAGAGGGAAATTTCAGCATGTCCTATCTTGATGAACTAACCAATCAGGTAAAGTCAGTTCTGGCCAGTTGTTGCAGGATGTGTCTGTACCTTTTATACTTTTAAAAGTAGTGTCTGACACTTGACATTAAATCTCAGATAGAGACAGTTGGGGACAGTTGTTTCTCTTGTACTGCAACCTTTTGCACATTTGTGTCAACTACTTTTATTGGCTGATATTGAATGCAGAATGCTGGATTGGATCAACCTTGTTGCAATTCATTGAATAATAAAAATGGAAGGGTGTATATTCCATATAGTCCTGTTCCAAATATTGCCCAGCAAAATAATTTATCTGGCTGATCAGTCAGGTCTCTTGCATGCATGTCTTGCCTGTCAACTTCTCAGTAGCATACTGTTCCCACTTTGGCAACTTTTAAGATGTGTGGACTTCCAACTGCATTCCCCTTGGAAAGCTGGTTAGGGTATTGAGGAAGTCTCTCTCTCTCTCTCTCTCTCTCTCTCTCTCTCTCTCTCTCTCTCTCTCTCTCTCTCTTTCCCACCCTCCCTCCCTCTCCTCCTCCTCCTCCTCCTCCCTCTCTCTCTTCTGTAGCCACTCATCTCAACAAATGAATCTCGGTGTCTTACAATTCAAAACGTATAGTTACATTTAAAAAAAATGTTTTAAAACAATAAAACCAGTAAAAAAAATAGAATAGTAAAAAGAAAATATTAAACTGTCTCATTCATTAATGTACATACAAAAGCAAGATATTTGGCCCATTAACTATGTAGCCAGGAGACAGGCCCTTGGTGCTTGTAGCATAACTTAGATTTTAGAGCTTTAGGTTGGGGCCATTCTCATCTTCAAAGGGAGGATGTTCCATGGAGCAGGGGCCCCTGCAGTTGAAGTCCATACATCTTAAAGTTGCCAAGGTTGAAAAGCTCTGCTGTAGCAGTCACAGACCTTTGTGCTCTTGTGATATTTATACCTTTTTAAGACAAAGGTAGCCTCCTATCAATGGCGGCTCCGAAGTCTGGACTGCCACCGATGTAAAGAAGCGAGTGAGCGACAGTTTGTGAGATCATTGGGGAAGAGTATGGCAGAGAAAATTAGCGGCAGAGCGGAGGATTGGAATGCCATAGACTTTTATAAGGCTGTTACAAGTGTCTGCCAAGCCCTTTCACTTTCACTTGCCTCGCATCCGCTTTTTGGCCGCTTTCTTTTAGGGCTCCGGACAGACACTTGTAACAGCCTTATAAAAGTCTATGGCATTCCAATCCTCCTCTCCACCGCTAATTTTCTCTGCCACACTCTTCCCCAATGATCTCACAAACTGTCACTCACTCGCTTCTTTACATCAGTGGCAGTCCGGACTTCGGAGCCGCCATTGATAGGAGGCTGTTTCTTGCTTGTTGGGCTCTGGAGGGCTCCTCTTCGCTGCAGGGGGGTTGCCTTCCCCACACTGCAACCCGAGTCTCCCCCACGCCGGTACGAATTTCTCCAGGACTTGTGCACCCTCAAAGGATCGCGCCAACCGCAAAAAGAGATTAACTGAAACCACAGACGGGCTTCTGCACCTCTGTTCGTCTGGTGGCAAGGCACCCAACCCCTCTATTAAAGTGCATCCTGGGCACTGCGCTACAATGGAGAAATGGGCAATAGAGCAGCCGGCATGAGGGAAGGAAAAGGCTGCTTTCCCTCTTTCTTCTCGCTGCTCCTCCTCCTCCCCTCATGCCGGCTGCTCCATTGCCCATTTCTCCATTGCAGCGCAGCACCCAGGATCCACTTTGGTGGTAATTTAACAACCGGGTTGCCCAGGATCAAGTTGGCCATCGTGGAAGGCTCATCCCACATGTGTCACAGAGCTGGAGGATGGGGATGAGCCACGCCTCCCACAACAGCAACCTGACCCTAGGCAAACCGGTTGTTAAATTATTTGAATCCCACCACTGGAAAGGGGGAATACGTTTGGGAAGTGAAGTTCCTTACTCACACTCAAGTTACTAGAACAAGAGGATAAGTTTTTGAATGAGACATAGTAACTTTTCCAGGTAACTAAGATTAATCCTAAGACCTACTTCTAAAAAAGAAGCTATAACATTTGCCAATTTTTTTGTTGTTGTGCAGCACCATAAAGTAATAAACTTTACAAGCTTGATGCAGAGCATTTTTATAACTGATTTTCATACATTACCATGCTATATTAGTTTTGATCAGATATACATAGTCATTGCAAATGTGTATAAGATAAATTCATCAATTTTTCATTCTATCTATAAGTACTTTGTTAATGTAAGAATATAAACTATATTCCAGGAGAATTTTACACTTGACTAGAAGTGTAATCGATACGAATTCCATTGAAAGTTTCAATACAAAATACGCACCAAGCAGAATACATAGACTGTACCTTGTATTACATTCAACACCTCATTTGATGATCGTTTTCCCATAATAATAAGGAACAATGGAAACTGATCTGTCTTTTGAGTCCGAATAGTTTGAGCTACAACACTGCCAAAGTGTCTTGTGCACATTGTTAGAAACCTGAAACATAGGAATATTGTAATGAAAAGTTTGTATTAATAAATGTACCTTATTCATTTCATTTCCAAAATATATATGCATGTTATGTAACTTTCATAATTTCACAGCAAAAATATACGCAGTACATTTTAGCTTAGTTTCAAGAAAAAGGACTTCATTTGTTGCTAACAGCATCCCCCATTTTTTTCTCTTTTTATACTGTGGACTATTATCCAGACTCTCCTAATCTTACTACTCTCCACAGGGAACATCCACTTCCACCCTCTCTTTTTCTTCTATGCTGCAACGTATCTATTTCTATTAAGGCATACTATCTTCTTTATATTTTCCCCTTAACATTTAATTTTCTTTACGTTCTTTTGTGGAACATTCATAGTTCTGTACCAATTCTGCTCCCAGATTTAATAGTTAGATATAACTAAGATCTAATGGTTTAGTATAATCCTTCTGTCAATTCTTAACTTATATTGCTGAAAACCTCAACTTTCAAAAGATAGAAGAAAACAAAACAGAACCCTAATATAAACTAAGGAAAACACAATTAGTCAATTCATGATAAAATTCTACAGCATATCATAAAACTATTAATAGATGACCAACTTGAAAGCAATCATCTAGAGATTGTCAATTATTATATTTGTTAAAAAAAGCCTTTCCAAGCTAAAGTCATCCCTTTTTTATTTGGTAACTTTCTTAGTAGACTGTGCAAACGCTATATTCATCTTGTTTTCAATTATGCTTTGACAGAGTACCCCATTCTGATGCGATAACCACATAATGGTTATCATATTTGCAGTTGACATAAAACAGGGTAGGACAGCTGCTATTTTATAAGACCTAAACAAAATTCAGGCTGATCTTGGTAGGTTAAAGGGATGAGTTAAAAATAACAGAATGAAATTTAATAGAGATAAATGCAAAGTTATACACTCAGGAAAGAGAAAAATGCAAAAATACAGAAAGTGGAATTCCTGGATATTAAAAATAACTTGGATCACAAACTGAAGATGAATTAATGATGCAAGGTAATTGCTAAAGGAGAAGAAATTTTACGTTATGCCATTGTAGCAGCTTCCAAATATGGGAAGTATACTTTATTTTGCAATAATTACTATATAGTACCTCAAATATTGTCTACATTTCTGGATAAGAAATGTGATTTTTGTAAGATTATTCAGAAAAACTAGAAGAAATACAATGAGTTTGGTTTTCTGGAGAGAGAGAGAGAAAGACTGAGAACAGAGAAAAGTTGGCTTGCGGAAAATTTTCAGATAGCTGAAGGGTATCATAGACAAGAAGGTGAAAATCTGTTCTCCATCATTCCAGAGAGTAGGATATTGAATAATGGTATCAGTAGTCCTTGCCTTACGACTATGATTGAGTCCAACATTTATGTTGCTAAGTGAGAAATTTGTTAAGTGAATTTTGTCCCATTTTATGACTTTTCTGGCCATGTTTGTTAAGTGAATCACTGTTGTTTAATTAGTGCCATGGTTATTAAATAAATCTGGCTTCCCCATTGACTTTGCTTGTCAGAAGATTGCAAAAGAGATTCACGTGATCCCGGGACACTGCAACTGTCATAAATATGAAACATCTGTCAAGCTTCCGAATGTAAATCATGTAACCATGGGGCTGATGCAATAGTTATAAGCGTGAAATATGGTTAAAAACCACTTTTTTCGGTGCCATTGTAACTTTGAATGGTCGCTAAATGAACTGCTGAAAGCCGAGGACTACCTGTATTAAGTTACAGATATTGGTAAATGAAATAAAAGGAAAAAAAACCTCCAGTGGTAAAAGCAACATGAAACTCAGATTACTGAAGGAGGTAATTCCCTTTCCTAATTAGAATGTAGTCAAACAGTTACCTATCAGGAATGCTTTAATTTGGATTCCTGCACCAATTAGAGGGTTGGACTTGATGGCCCAAATAGCTCTAAGTTTCTATACACTTGGAAAATTAATGGAATAGAGATAGATGAATAATATTTCATTGACTTCTTGCACTGTTTTCTTTATTATCTAGCTCTGCATTAACAAAAAATACAAAATGCTCTCAATGTCTTTTCTGGTTTATTCTTAAAATATAAATCATAAGAGATGGAGGGAAGTAATCAAAACAACAAATCCATATTATTAGGGAAATATAACTGCATATCCTTTTTAAAGGAAAGTTTCTTACACAGGGAACAGCCCTCCACTAACTATTCTTGGCATTCTGTTTATTCCTAACTCTGAATCTCACACTTTACTACTGTAACAGGAGCAGCAACAATACAGAAATTAGTTGGTATTTCAATAAATTAAGATGACCCCACTAAATTCAAATACTTATTTCTTTATGAGCAAAAGCAAAATGATACCACAGTGGAGAAAAGTAAAAAAGCAAAACTTCATTTGGAATCTTCAGATGTTGAACAGAATACATTGTCATGCCATCTCCTCAGATGTTGAACAGAATACATCCTCATGCCATCCCCTCAGATGACTCATTTTGAAAGGAGGAGAAAAATCACTAAACTCATAGATGCTAAATCTAGCATTAATGATTGTGTGATTCTTGAATCTACTTTTCAAACTCCAGTTTAAATTATCTGTGCAACTCCCATGCCCAAGGATGTGGCATCCTGGCACTGAGTTAAATTTCAAAAGGCCAAAAGCCATAGCCAAGTTAGTTTGGATAAAAAAACCTAACCCATTAAGGATTATTACTGTATGGCTCTAGAACCCTACTACGGCTATTAAATAGGGCTCGACTAAGAGGTAAAAACTTGAAACCTTTAGTATGAAGTTTTTCTTTCCTACATAGGAAGTAATATGTAAGTAACAATTTTATAAGATATACTTAAATCTTTAGGCACTTTTAAACCTGTTCCAAAAAAGCCTTATAAGAATCAAATGGAGATTAAAACCATTACCATATTTTATTTTTATTCTTTACAATGCAAGAGGAACTTTTTGCTTTCCTGTAAGGTATAATCAGACAGCTTTGATGACTTTGAGATCTGTAAGAGCAGGTACTGAAGATTGAACTCTTTGGCAAGAATCAATACCATAACATTTCAGAAGTTCATTGTAAAAAAATAACACACATACACACACACACACAACACAAACACCAAAGTTGTAGACGAACAGCTTGCATATAGAAATATGTTAATATAACTTTCAGTAATTAATTAGTGAAAGAAGTAATACATATCAAGGAGTCATGTTTTTGAAGATTGTGCTAGTTCCCTTCACTTTCATACTTACTAGTATGTTCTGAAAACACTAATTCTAAGCTTTTGACAAAAAAAGCTTTCATCCATTATCATACTGAAGTCTGACATTAGTATTCTTAACACGATCTTGAATAAATGAAAAAACTGATAAAGCTTTTCACTTCCATTAGAGGACTGTTTGAAATTAGCATTTCTTTCAAGAGAAAAGGGTAGCTTATGATATGTTTTCAGATCTGATGGTAAAAAGTAAATGTCATAATAATAATGAATTATGAAAGACCAAATGCAAATATAGAATGCTTTAATAAGATCCAATTTAATAAAGTCTGTAAAAATAATGGACTTTTAATAACACAGGTCACAAAAGGCAAAACAGTGGAAATTCTGAGGACTAGCCACTAGCAGAGGCTTATTAATTCTTAATTATGTTCATGAAAGGCAACTTAAATCGTGTATTTTCTTATGCCTTAGGATAATATTTTAGGTAACAACTGATCTGAAAACTACCTGATGAGCATAAGCCTTTTTGTCCCATGCTTTAGAAGGTAAATCTATCTGAAAAGACAAACGGCATTAAAATGTCACAGGCTGAAAAGCATTTGATATCAACATCCAAAACAGAACCACAACACACTTAATTTTCATTATTATTAATAAAAAAACACCTACGTTTCAGAAATCTAGAATGATAAATAAAAATCCTTGATTCCAAAGTTAGTATGATTCTGAGAACTATTGAAGTTTGAGAACAAAATTGGGTCAATTTTGTGTTATTGGCTTTATTTAAATAAAATGTCATCTTAATATGGAAGTTACTAACTTTTTTAGTAAATAATTAGATGTGGTTAGAAAGTTAAGACTAATTATATGATGATGTGTTAGTTGGTCATTTCTGCTATGTAGAAATCACAGCATGGGATGAAAGGTCTTCTGATTTTATTGGGAAATATTTAGCAAGTTCACTTCCTAGTCTAGGGTGAGTTGGATTCTGGAAGCTTTGGCCATCCACAATGGATTTGTCTCATCCTTATTTTGATTTCTCAGGAAATTGTCTCAAGAAGTCATCCTGGTCAAACCAATTGCCAAGTTATATATGCCATGCTCAGTAGACTCAATAGACTATTTAGATAAATTATATGATTTATACTCAAAAAGAAACTTTTAAATTTTAGAAAAGTTTGAAAATACCTATTTGATGTGCCCAAATCCAATTTAGCAGACCAAATATTTGAAGATGAGCCCTAGTGCTCTTTAAACATGAGCCAAGAACTTGTGAAATTTATTTCTATACCTATTTATGGTACATTTACTGTAGAGTTTTTCCAAAGTAAAAGAATACTTGTTGAATATTAAATTTATCCAACATCTATTTAATATGATTGATTTTATACTGTGCAAAGTCAATATGTCTCATTAAAATGTGAATAAAGGAATAACATTTTATGCTATTAATATTTAATTTTTAAATGTAGAACTAGAAGCTATGTTTTATTTATTCATGACATGACTATCTTAGCCAATTCTACATACCATCCACTTAATCCTCCCTTTCTTTGAAGACAATTGTTACTTTTGACTGGGTTTTTGGAACATTTTTTGCTACATCCTTCTATGTGTAATAACTGGTCAGTAGCACTCTATCTTTGGTTACAAGCTTCTTTAAAAATATTTAAATTTCCATTATTTTGAGTTTGTCACCAAAGTCACCCTTTGTCAGATAACTTGCAGAACAGCCTCAACCAAATCTGATGGATTATACTAACATAAGGTTGT